GGCAAGTGAGCCAGCATGATAAATCAATTTACGGGTATTGATCGGCACTCGCAACAGTTGAAGAAAGCACACACTAAAGAATAGAGGTTACACTAGATAACGAACAGAAGTAAAAATAGTTACCGCGATCAGATTTATTATAGAACCACAAAACACCTCTGTAGAAGACCCACACTTGCTATTTGAAATACAACGTAATAATAAATACGTTAATAAAACAAGGAGTAAAAGGGGGATGTTTCTTACCTCTAGACCTTTTCTCTCTATATATAGTGAAGAAAGTTTTGAGGAAAGTTAAAGAGAAAGCAGGAATAAGAGTTGGAGGATACAATATAAACAAATTGCAGATGATATAGTTTTGATAACTGAAAACGCAACTGATTTACAACAGCTACTGGATATTGTAGGGATAGAGAGTGCTGAGAAATAACGCTTCTTGAATATTAAGAAAACTAAAGTAATGATTAAAAAAGAAGATAACTCCACATTGTGATATCCTAATTGAAGGAAAAAGACTTAACCAAGTCAATAAATTTAAATATATGGGAACGGTCATATCATTAGATGGAATAGATGTGACAAAGATTAAAAGCAGAACAGGTCAAGGGAAGGCAGCATTTCATGAAATGAAAAAATATCTTATGCAATAAGTCGCACTCATTTAATGTCAGAAAGAGAGTGCTAAAATGTTACATAGAACCTGTTCTGCTGTATGGCAGCGAATCTTGGAATGTCTTCTTCCTCTTCTTCTTCACTTCCTCTATTACCGCTGTGGGTGTCGAGGGAGATTTAAGGTTCCGTTTCTAGCTCTTCTGGCCGCCTCGACCATAGGCACATCGTGCTGTTGTAGAATTTCTCTGATGTTATCCTTCCATCTTGTTTTTGGTCTACTTCGTGCTCTACGTCCTTCTTCTCTTTCCACGTATGCTTTGTATGGTATGGTGTCACAAGGCATTCTCTCTAAGTGGGCAAACCATTTCACTTGCTGTCTTTGTATGTAATTTAGAATTGGTTCTGTGCCGATTTTTTCTCTTATGATCTCATTCCTGATCTTATCTCTTATGGTCACTCCTACAGCCCTTCTCAGACATCTCATTCTTGGAATGTCAATAAACAAATTAAGAAGAATTTGGAAGCAACAGAGATGTGGTTTCTGAGACGAATGTTCCGAATACCTAGGACAGCCAAAGATCCACACGTCACAATGTTACTTTTCCAGCAAACACACCGCATTTCACTTCTCCAGTCCACACATCATAATTTTACTGCTCCAGTCAACATGTCACAATGTTACTTCTCCGGTCCACACGTCACAATGTTACTTCTCCAGTTCACACATCACATTTAACTCTCCAGTTCACGTTTCACAATTTTACTTCTCCAATCTACACGTCACAATTGTACTTCTAAAAAATACACTTCACGATTTTACCTCTCCAACCTACACGTCATGATTTTACTTCTTTAATCTACACGCACAATTTTACTTCTCCAATCTACACGTCACAATTTTACTTCCCCAATCTACACGTCATAATTTTACTTCTTCAATCTACACGTCACGATTTTAGTTTTTAAATCTACAAATCACGATTTTACTTCTTCAATCTACACGTCACGATTTTACTTCTTTAATCTACAGAATAGATATTAGGAAATGTTTGGATGCTGTTGAACTTCTGTGTTGTTATATCAATGATTCAACTTCTCCAGTCTACACGTCATGATTTTACTTCTCTAATCTACACGTCACAATGTTACTTCTCCAGTTCACACATCACATTTAACTCTCTAGTGCATGCGTCACAAGTTTACTTCTCCAATCTACACGTCACAATTGTACTTCTAAAAAACACACGTCACGATTTTACTTCTCCAATCTACAGTCACAATTTTACTTCTCTAATCTGCACGTCATAATTTTACTTCTCCAATCTACAGTCACAATTTTACTTCCCCAAACAACACGTCCTGATTTTAATTCTTCAATCTAGACGTCACAATTTTACTTCTCTAATCTACACGTCCCAATTTTTCTTCTCCATTCTACACGTCACGATTTTACTTCTCCAATCTACACGTCACCATTTCAATTCTCAAATCTATATGTCTCGATTTTACTTCCCCAATCTACACGTCATAATTTTACTTCCCCAATCTTCACGTCATAATTTTACTTCTCCAGTTTACACGTCATCATTTTACTTCTCCAATCTGCACGTCACGATTTTGTTGTAAAATATCAGTTTTTGAATGTGACATTTTCGCCAATGACAGTTCAGGTTTTGTTTGCAACAGTCAAGTTTAATACCTGGGTCTGCTTCTATGATGATGTTGGTGAGACGTCCTTGGTTGACATCTGCGTGTTAATTGTTAATGTTTTTGAAATGTTAACTTCCGTCTGTATGTGGATACTAGGAAATGTGTGGAACTTCTGTGTTGTTATGTCACTGGGGATATTGACGCAAACACATTGTTGCTTCCACAGCCACGCTTCTTTTTGTGCTGCTCTCACCTCAGGATTATATCAACCGTTGACTGGAGTAGCTAGGCTTCTCCGCGCGGAAGGAGGTCCAGTGCTGTCCCGGGTTCCATCAACCGTTGACTGGAGTAGCTCGGCTTCTTCGCGCGGAAGGAGTTCCAGTGCTCCACCTAGCCCCGGGTTACATCAGCTGTTGACTGGAGCAGATGGAGTCAATCGATCCTACCAGACTCCTGACACTTGTTGTCTGTGCCAGTTGTTTCATGACACTTGCTCCAGGCAAGAGTTGATCTTATATTTGTGATATAGGCCCTCTATTTGACTGACATGTTTCTTTTTCTTTCACAGTCTGTCTGTCTGTCTCTTTCTCAGTCACCGTCTGGCTGTGTCTTTTTCTGTGTTACAGTCTATCTGTGTCTTCCTCTGTCACAGTCTGTCTCTTTCCCAGTCACAGTCTGACTGTGCCTTTTTCTGTGTTACAGTCTATCTGTCTCTTCCTCTGTCACAGTCTGTCTCTTTCTCCGTCACTGTCTGGCTGTGTCTTCTTCTGTGTTACAGCCCAGTTCTTTCTTTGCCACAGTCTGTCTTTTTTTTCTGTTACTGTCTATCTGTCTCTTCCTCTGTCAAAGTCTGTTTGTCGCTTTCTCAGTTGGAATCTTTTTGTCTGTCGCGTTCTGAGTCATAGTATATCTGTGCTTGATGCTATGTTTTTACATTTACATAGCTAGACATTAGTACCACAAGATATCTAACAGCCGAAGAAACTAACTCGGCATCTCATACCCCAGACAATTTTTCTTGTATTCGACTGATATTTTATATAGATATTATTTATTAACAGGGCACCTAGATTTCCCCCTAAAACTGTACCGAATATAGACTTGAAAATTTTACCGGAATATGGGCTAGAACATCGTACCAAAAAAAAAAAAAAAATGAACTAGAACATTATACTAGAACATGGACTAGAACATTATACTAGAACATGTACTAAAACACTGTACCAGACCGAGGGCAAGAACATTGTAAGAGTACATAGACTAGAAATATAGACTAGAAATATAGCCTATATCTGTAATTATCGGCTAGCTCTAAAATGTTTTAGTATATGTCTGTTAACTTCTAGATCGTAAATTGTGTACCTATTAGCTCTACATTTTATAGTACATATCCATTACTTCTACCATATCACAGTACATATCCGTTAACCCTACCATCTCACAGTACGTATCATTTAACTCTACAATCTCACAGTACATATCCGTTAACTCTATCATCTCACAGTACGTATCATTTAACTCTACAATCTTACTGTATATGTCTGTTAACTCTACCTTCTGACATTAATATCTGCCAATTAACACTACCATCTGTATTGTATACCTAATAACTCCACCATCTTAAAGTAAATTTCCAGTACACGTCTGTTAACTCTACCATCTAATAGTAATTGTCTGGTAATTCTACCATTTGATAGTACATGTCCGTTAATACATGACATTTGACAGTACATGTCTGTTAACTCTACTATTTGACAGTACATGTCCGTTAACTTTACCATTTGACAGTACATGTCCGTTAACTCTACCATTTGACAGTACATATCCGTTAACTCTACCACTGGACAGTACATGTCTGTTAACTCTACCATTGGACAGTAAATTTCGGTTAACTCTACCATTCGACAGTATATGTCCGTTAATACTACCATTAGACAGTACATGTCTATTGACTCTACCATGTGATAGTACATATCCGTTAACTCTACTACTGGACAGCACATGCCCGTTAACTCTACTACTGGACAGTACATGTCTGTTGATCTACCATTGGACAGTAAATTTCCGTTGACTCTACCATTTGACAGTATATGTCCGTTAATACTACCATTGGACAGTACATGTCTGTTAACTTTACCATTGGACTGTTTATTTCAACATGCTTGTATAATCCCTATTTGCTCTAGGACAACACCTGTGGCCCGACTACGTCAAAGTCTCCAAAAAAACCACAGCCAACAACCTGGCCCACAGGACACACATACCCTTTACTTACTATGAAAGCATTACCAAAAAATTAGAAGTAAGTTGTTTGTATTTCTTTTGGGTGTAATATATGTATCATTTTGTTTATGTTTAATGAAAGTGTCTCATTACTTTTTTTTTGTCCATCTAATGTGATTTAATATAGTTTCAGAGACCTGTTAGCCGTGGTAACACTAAGCAACTAATATTTCAGTCGTGTAATGTTTCAGAAAACTGTTAAACTGTGTCATGTTAAACACTTTACATTAATTGTCTTTGTAATAAGTCTCTACACTCAGACAATGCCAGGTTCAACGATTCACAATTTTTGCAGTTCTACAGCCAGTACATCTAATGTTGTTAAAGTAATACATGAAAAGCCGGACACACTTTCACAGTTGTTCTGGTTTATTTTACGTTTGGTCTTGTTTATTTGATGTCTGTTCTTATTTGTGTTTCACAGATTCTTGATTGTGTTAAGTCTGTTCTTCCAGGTCAACTACAACGGCTTCGTGACGTTTGGAGTGACCAGTTTCAGCGCCCTATCCCCAACTCCATCTCACTGGCCTTCTAGTCCTAAGTACTTGGGCGTGTACTGGACGGACTGTTTGCTGGACCTCAAGAACATGATCCCGTCTATTTACATCTACCACGTAAGATCAGGCTTATCGCTTTAATTTATGTAGCATGCACCGACATTTGTACAGTCTTCTGTTATAGCTCAGGTTATGAATGTACAGCCTGTTATAGCCCAGGTGATGTCTGTACAGTCTGTTATAGCCCAGGTGATGTCCGTACAGCTGTTATAGCTCAGGTGATGTCTGTACACTTTGTTATAGCCCCGGTGATGTCTGTACAGTCTGTTTTAGCCCAGGTGATATCTGTAAAGTCTGTTATAGCTCAGGTGATGTATGTACAGTCCTCTGTTATAGCTCAGGTGATGTATGTTCAGTCCTCTGTTATAGCCCAGGTGATGTCTGTACAGTGTACAGTCCTCTGTTATAGCTCAGGTGATGTATGTACAGTCCTCTGTTATAGCCCAGGTGATGTCTGTACAGTTCTTTGTTATAGCTCAGGTGATGTATGTACAGTCCTCTGTTATAGCCCAGATGATGTCTGTACACTCTGTTATAGCCCAGGTGATGTCTGTACATTCTGTTATAGCCCAGGTGATGCTGTACAGTTTGTTATAACCCCGGTGATGTCTGTACAGTCTGTTTTAGCCCAGGTGATATCTGTAGTCTGTTATAGCTCAGGTGATGTATGTACAGTCCTCTGTTATAGCTCAGGTGATGTATGTTCAGTCCTCTGTTATAGCCCAGGTGATGTCTGTACATCATACAACAGTGTTCCTTAGCCTGTTTACATCCGCGGTCAATGCACTGAATAAATATGGCACGTTGTAGAATCATCCTGAAACAAATCTGACACATTCTGGATTCATTTAGAAATAGCCTGAAATATATCTGCAGTTGTATGACTATCCTGGAATAAGTATGTTAGCACTGCTACTGCTCATTACCGTCAGCAGTTAGAGTGTGTAGACAATACAACATGTAAAGGAAACATGGACAACGATGACCTAGCTACTCCCAGCCACTTTGTGTGTGTGTGGGTGTGTATACGTGTGTGTGTGTGTATATATATATATATATATATATATATATATATATATATATATATATATATGTGTGTGTGTGTGTGTGTGTGTGTGTGTGTGTGTGTGTGTGTGTGTGTGTTATGACCTAGTGCGTTCGTGAAAGTGGCATTCAGGTACCCCCTGTAAACAACAACAGCAACAAGATCTTTTAATGTGGGTGTGGCGGCTCATGGTGGCTGAGCTCACAAGTTCCCATCAGATTTATGTGGTTGACAACAAAATTGCTGCAACAAAATCGGACCTATCCGTAAAAATGTGTGCTTGTTCTGCTTCGATACCTGACGTATTCTTAAAAAGTGTCTGCTTGTTCTACTCAAATATCTGACGCATTCGTAAAATGTTTTTGCTTGTTATTCTCCGACATCTGACATGTTCGTGAAGATTTCCTGCTTGTTCTGCTCCTGTATCTGTCAGACTACCCTTACACTCACTATCTTCTCCAGAATGTGGACAGATTGTACAATGTGACCCGAGATAATTCTCTGATCAAGTATGTCAAGGCCGCTATCGCTGACCCTCAGTTTGAGCCGCTGGAGATCCATGCCGTCACCTGGGACAATGTCAGACCCAAGCAGGTGGATCAGTACCCTAATGACGTAAGTGTAACAGTTTAGTTAGACTCGATTACTGATTTAATAATAGACATCATAGCTCACCGGGCATACCCAAAGGTGCTTCGTCTCGCGCAGCAAATATCTTAAGATGTAGATGCTAACTGTTCCCTTAGGACACCGTTTATACGCACGTCGTTCTCTTCTTCTCAGCTGTCCCTCCTTGCCGGATCCGCACTTATTTCCTCGTTCACACATTCTTGCACATGTTATTTCATCCAATCTCGTGACTTCTGTGAACAGTCTTTCATAAATGATCTTCAAAATATCTACCCTGCAATGTTGGCGTATTGATGCTTGGTATCCACTCATGCCACATTTGTCCCCTTTGAACCTTTCACAATGTAAACTAAGAATCCGACACAGTAATTCCTCTAATAACTTTTTGTGGTTTGCTATCCAACTTAGAGCTGCAATGATTGCCTCCAATTCCATGCTCATGTTTGAAGTTGTAGACAAACAGCTCAGTTTTGTTCTGCCACATTATTTCCCTTCATTCTAGCTGAAAATCCTTAACCTGATATTACACCCGTTGAAAAGAACCATCGGTGTACACTACTGTATCATCTAGTCCAACCTTTCCATCTATCAGTTGTTGTAGCTCTAATTCTGCCATACCGTTACACCACTCTCTATATCCTCTTCCTAACGTAAAATTGACCTGATGTAAACTGCTATTGTGGGTGTTTGTGTCAACCTATTCCTGCTCCCTGTGTATTTGCTTGACTGAGGCCGCCGTCACGATGCTACTTTCAGCTAGTGCCATCCATGGCTTTCCTCTTTTTAAGCGGTCTCCTTTTAAATCTTTCAGACTGCCATGCAGCGGATGCCTTTCATCGTTAGTAATTGGCAAATAGGCCTTGGCTTGCACCAGTGACAGTCTCGACTTCATCGATGTCAGCCCAAGCAAATACCTCATTGCTCTGATTGGGGTTCCCGTGTGCAACAAAACGATTCTCATTCCTTCACTTGGAATCCTTTCAAGCTTTGTACACTGTGAAGTAGCTAGTTTTAATATTCTGGGTAATAATCAGTTACAGAAAGCACCAAATGGTTGAACAATAAGACCAATAATCTATGTTCCATGTGCGTCGCCACCATCGTCTTCAGTGCTGCCAGGCCACGCTTGCATTTGATCACAGTCTTCCCCACGTGATACTTGTAGGACAAAATGTGATCAAACAGGAAACCCAAGTATTTCAGTTTATCTTTTCTTCCACCATAATAATACCCGTTATGCATATGCTGGGAAAATCTTCCTTTCCGGTGCTTTTATTTAAGGAGTACCAGAAAACACTGACCTTCTCTGGGTTTACCCTTGACCCAGTCTGTTCACATCACTCCGTCGTCTCATGTAAAGCACTTTGCAAGTCACTGGTCATGTCGTGCATGTCTGACCTGCTTTGGTACAGTTTGACATCATCTGCAAATGTCAAAGTTCGCCCTGGTCCAGGGGGCTGAATTTTTGCCAGACTTGCTGTTATGGTTATGGTTAGTTGCGTATCCTTTACAGGACGTTGCAGAACCAACCCCAAAAGCACTAGCTGTTGTGTGGTTTTCTGGGCACATTTACGTCCAGTAGTTTTCCATTGCTTTCTGGGCGGTCGGCTTTCTTGATACCACTGTCGAAACCAACATAAGGCGCATGGCCCGCAGCTGGGATCGAACCCGGTACCCCGGCATTACGAAGCGTTTGCATCGACTTAGCCACAGAGCCGACAGACTTGCTGTATATCTGTCAAATAAGGCAGGTGACAGTGGTGATCCCTGAGGAAGTCCAGGGCAAATAAGCACTGGATGCGATCTCCATGTTCCCAAACAAAATACCACTGTTCTTTCCAAAATGCGGCCTCCATCCAGTCAGACTCACACAGGTGGATCAGTATCTCAATGACGTAAGTGTGACAGTTTTGTCAGACCCACGCAGGTGGATCAGTATTCTAGTGACGTAAGTGTGACAGTGTTGTCAGACCCTCACAGGTGGATCAGTATCTCAATGACGTAAGTGTGACAGTTTTGTCAGACCCACGCAGGTGGATCAGTATTCTAGTGACGTAAGTGTGACAGTGTTGTCAGACCCTCACAGGTGGTTCAGTATCTCAATGACGTAAGTGTGACAGTGTTGTCAGACCCACACAGGTGGATCAGTACTCTAGTGACGTAAGTGTGACAGTGTTGTCAGACCCTCACAGGTGGATCAGTACTCTAGTGACGTAAGTGTGACAGTGTTGTCAGACCCACACAGGAGGATCAGTCTCTCAATGACGTAAGTGTGACAGTATTGTCAGACCCACACCGGTGGATCAGTACCCCTGTGACGTAAGTGTGACAGTGTTGTCAGACCCACACAGGTGGATCAGTACTCTAGTGACGTAAGTGTGACAGTGTTGCAAGATCTACACAGCTTTATCAGTACCCCGGAGACGTAAGTGTGACAGTGTTGTCAGACCCACACAGGTGGATCAGTATCTTAATGACGTAAGTGTGACAGTGTTGTCAGACCTGCACAGCTTTATCAGTACCTCGGAGACGTAAGTGTGACTATAAGCAAATATAGGATACCCTTTTCCACGCGTTTAGGACTTATAGGGCTAGAGCTATCTTTTATAGACCGATCTGCACTGGATGTGGTCAACATAGCGCCGGCCGCGTGTACTTCCCAGGACTGTACCTAATATCTACTGAAGGTCGTGTCAATCTGGGACGCAAGTTAAATTTGTAGAAAGAAAAAAAAAAGCATCTGCATCAGCACCCGAACACACGATATTCTGATCCGCAAGCGTGAGTCTAGTCTCTACATCACCTTGTCAAGTGCCTTTGTGTGTTCTAGAAAGTTATTGTTATGCCTACCATTGTTTTGTGATTATATGAACGTCGTGGCATATGTGATAAATGTTTTTATATCCAGTTGCCAATTTATTGCGGTGTGGTATTTATAAACGACTTTGTCATCTGCTTTTGTGTGTGTCATACACGTTTTCAAACATTGTCTCTGTGATCTACAGACCGCAACATTCCAGGTGTTGTTGGCCACTGACAGTAAGGTCACCTACGCCATCAGAGGATACCATTCGGTGTGGCAGAGTCCACAGCTGGCCAGTCAGACCTACTACGCCGCCGCCTACTCCCTGGATAATGATTCCAGACCGAACATCACCATGCCAAGTAAGATTCTATTGTATGGTGTAGACAGATATCATTATAGAACAGGTTGTAGATAAGCATTCTAGTACATGGTGTAGACATATATTCTAGTACATGGTGAAGACATAACTTCTAGTACATGGTGTAGACAGATATCATTCTTGAACAGGTTGTAAAAAGGCATTCTAGTACATGGTGTAGACAGATATTCTAGTACATGTTGTAGACAGATATCATTCTTGAACAGGTTATAGATAGGCATTCTAGTACATGGTGTAGACATATATTCTAGTACATGGTGTAGACATAAATTCTAGTACATGGTGTAGACATAAATTCTAGTACATGGTGTAGACAGATATTCTAGTACATGTTGTAGACAGATATCATTCTTGAACAGGTTATAGATAGGCATTCTAGTACATGGTGTAGACATAAATTCTAGTACATGGTGTAGACATATATTCTAGTACATGGTGTAGACAGATATTCTAGTACATGTTGTAGACAGACATTCTAGTACATGTTGTAAACAAACATTCTGGTACATGGTGTAGAGAAACATTCTAGTACATGGTGTAGACAAACATTCTAGTACATTGTGTAGACAAACATTCTAGTACATGGTGTAGACATATATTCTGGTACATGGTGTAGAAAAACATTCTGGTACATTGTGTAGACAAACATTCTAGTACATGTTGTAGATAAACATTCTGGTACATTGTGTAGACAAACATTCTAGTACATGGTGTAGACATATATTCTAGTACATGGTGTAGACAAACATTCTGGTACATAGTGTAGACATATATTTTAGTACATAGTGTAGACAAACATTCTAGTACATGGTGTAGTCATATATTCTAGTACATGGTGTAAACAAACATTCTGGTACATGGTGTAGACAAACATTCTAGTACATGGTGTAGACATATATTCTAGTACATGGTGTAGACATATATTCTAGTACATGGTGTAGACATATATTCTAGTACATGGTGTAGACATATATTCTAGTATATGGTGTAGACAAACATTCTGGTACATTCTGTAGTCATATATTCATTCTAGTACATGGTGTAGACAAACATTCTGGTACATTCTGTAGACAAACATTCTAGTACATGGTGTAGACAAACATTCTGGTACATGGTGTAGACAAACATTCTGGTACATTGTGTAGACAAACATTCTAGTACATGGTGTAGACATATATTCTAGTACATGGTGTAGACATATATTCTAGTACATGGTGTAGACAAACATTCTGGTACATTGTGTAGACAAACATTCTAGTACAAGGTGTAGACATATATTCTAGTACATGGTGTAGACAAACATTCTGGTACATGGTGTAGACAAACATTTTGGTACATGGTGTAGACAAACATTCTGGTACATGGTGTAGACAAACATTCTGGTACATGGTGTAGACAAACATTCTGGTACATGGTGTAGACAAACATTCTGGTACATGGTGTAGACAAACATTCTGGTACATGGTGTAGACAAACATTCTGGTACATGGTGTAGACAAACATTCTAGTACATGGTGTAGACAAACATTCTGGTACATGGTGTAAACAAACATTCTGGTACATGGTGTAGACAAACATTCTGGTACATGGTGTAGACAAACATTCTGGTACATGGTGTAGACAAACATTCTGGTACATGGTGTAGACAAACATTCTAGTACATGTTGTAGACAAACATTCTGGTACATGGTGTAGACAAACATTCTGGTACATGGTGTAGACAAACATTCTGGTACATGGTGTAGACAAACATTCTGGTACATGGTGTAGACAAACATTCTAGTACATGGTGTAGACGAATATCATTCTTGAACAGGTTGTGTATAAGCATTCTAGTACATGGTGTAGACATATATTCTAGTACATGGTGTAGACAAACATTCTAGTACATGTTGTAAACAAACATTCTGGTACATGGTGTAGAGAAACATTCTAGTACATGGTACAGACAAACATTCTAGTACATTGTGTAGACAAACATTCTAGTACATGGTGTAGACATATATTCTGGTACATGGTGTAGAAAAACATTCTGGTACATTGTGTAGACAAACATTCTAGTACATGTTGTAGATAAACATTCTGGCACATTGTGTAGACAAAGATTCTAGTACATGGTGTAGACATATATTCTAGTACATGGTGTAGACAAACATTCTGGTACATAGTGTAGACATATATTTTAGTACATAGTGTAGACAAACATTCTAGTACATGGTGTAGTCCTATATTCTAGTACATGGTGTAAACAAACATTCTGGTACATGGTGTAGACAAACATTCTAGTACATGGTGTAGACATATATTCTAGTACATGGTGTAGACATATATTCTAGTACATGGTGTAGACATATATTCTAGTACATGGTGTAGACATATATTCTAGTACATGGTGTAGACAAACATTCTAGTACATAGTGTAGACAAACATTCTAGTACATGGTGTAGTCATATATTCTAGTACATGGTGTAAACAAACATTCTGGTACATGGTGTAGACAAACATTCTAGTACATGGTGTAGACATATATTCTAGTACATGGTGTAGACATATATTCTAGTACATGGTGTAGACATATATTCTAGTACATGGTGTAGGCATATATTCTAGTACATGGTGTAGACAAACATTCTGGTACATTCTGTAGTCATATATTCTAGTACATGGTGTAGACAAACATTCTGGTACATTGTGTAGACAAACATTCTAGTTCATGGTGTAGACAAACATTCTGGTACATGGTGTAGACAAACATTCTGGTACATGGTGTAGACAAACATTCTAGTACATGGTGTAGACATATATTCTAGAATATGGTGTAGACAGACATTCTGGTACATGGTGTAAACATATATTCTAACATTCTGGTACATGGTATAGACCAACATTCTGGTACATGGTGCAGACATATATTCTAGTACATGTTGTAGACAAATATCATTCTTGAACAGGTTGTAAATAGGCATTTTAGTGCATGGTGTAGACAGATATTCTGGTACATGCTGTAGACAGACATTCTAGTAGACGCTGTAGACAGACATTCTACTACAGGTTGCACATAGACATAATTTGTGTACAGGTTGTAGACAGACATTCTAGTACAGTTTGTAGACAGAAACCATTTTAGTCTGTTGACAGAAAAACTGAAATTTGGTCTGAAATCCAAGGAAGGCTTTTGATTGTTGACAGTTTTCAGGTGGTCACTGAAAGGACAAAGAAAACTTTCCTCATAACAACGTCAATGTTGCAAGCGATTGGCTAGTGCTATCACCCTGTCACAATCACGTGCCTTATAGACAAGAGAAGTCAAGGGCATGGCGACGATAGAATCTCAGATCAGATTGCATCATCATAACAGAATGCAAACGTTAGGAGAACTCCAGTGTAGTTGGCCATGTTGTGTGTAAGTCAATGGAGCTAGGCTTGGCGTGGGTGTGAGAACACACTGTAGGTGAAACAGTACGAGCCGAGAGTTGCCTTTAGATTAGACCTAGATCGGGAAAAATGATGAATTGAAAATCGACACTATAGAACTGGGAACACTCCCCTAAGCGCTCCGGCTCTATCTTCAGCAGCAAGCAAAGATTTCCAACCTAAGCGCTCCGTCTCTATCTTCAGCAGCAAGCCAACTTTTCCAGTTCGATGGCAACAGTGGTGTCTGATTATATATCCATCATACATCAGTTTACCACCAAGTGGTGCAGAACCGGCCAGTCTATCAGACTACTCGTTGCCCAACACACTGGCTTGACCCTGCCACTCTGCACGGAGCATGCCTGTTTCCACCTTTCTTAACATGCTCTGTGAGTCAGTTACAATCACGACATGTGTGTACGGCTGATTTTCAAGCCAGCGGAAGGCGACAGTAACTGCCGCAGCCTCCATTCTCAAACTATCAAAGGAAAGAAATGAAACTGAACCAAAAGTATATCGGCGAGCTTCGCAATTTAACAATTACATAAAAAACGTAAATGCTAAAGAGCCTTTGTCAGCACATACATAAATCAACCAAAATCACAAGAGTACAAGAACCACTTAACTCCAGATGCAGCCAAGTGGATGTCTTGCTAGTCCAATGAAAAGAACATACTGAACTTAAGAATATATAGCTGTGAAATGCCCAGGGCAGTAACTGAAGAATTTTAGATGAAACTGTGTTGACAGTTCAGTCCCCTGTGTGTTAAGTCCCCAAAGTTTAAATAAAAAGATTTTCAAGAGACTTGCGGACAGTCGCTGGAGTGGTTAGATTTAATGACTGTTAACTCCATGTCGTGGACACCTTGGTGGTCCTGGAAATTGAAGTGCAACGGTACTGGTTTTAGGGCACCGTTTTTTCACATTCAAAAGATGTTGTCTGAACCTATCAGCCAGCCGTAAACCCGTTTCACAGATGTATTTCATGCCACATCTCCTGCAGTTTATGGCGTAAAGGACATCGCGGCTCCTGCAATAGAATGCTTCACGTATGTGGAAGGTGGCATTCGGGAATTCCAGACTGGTCCCCTGGACCATATATGGACAGGTCCTGCATACAGGTCTGCGGCAAGAGACCGTGCCGTAGAGGGACACAGGACGTAGCCGACTCTTGACTAGAATGTCCTTGAGGTTAGGGCCATGTCTGTAGGCCACTAGAGGAAGTTCATAAAAAATCGTGCACTTGGCAGGGTCCGATCTAAGGATGGATAGATGCCTAAGAAGAATATTTTTGGCACGGATGTTGTGAGAGTAAATATGAGGATAGGTCTGTTGTGGTGATGTTTAGGCTTGGAAACGAGAGGCTCAGCACGATGGAACGACCGTGCGCGGTGAAAGGCGGCAGAAAAGACATGTTCCGGATACCCTCGAAGCCGAAAGAAGGCCAACATTTCTAGGACCTCGTGGTGAAAGTCGTCGTTCTCCTATCATAGTCTGCAGGGGCGTAGAAGCTGGGGAAAAGGAATAGAGTCTTTGCAGGAAAAAAGACGAGAGGACGTGTTTACAAGAAAAGCGTGGGAATTAGTAGGCTTTTAGTGCACAGAGGTGCTGAAGCTTTCAGCATCCACGGTGACAGTGAGATCCAGAAAATGCACGGACGAAGGTGAAATGCTGAAAAAGCATCGGATGCTGGGATGGAAGTTAGAGAAAGAAAATGAATGAAGTCCTGCTGGTACGGAAATAAATGTGACACCGATGCTATCACTGAAATATGTCGGGGAGCCTACCGGTATATGCATGACGTATCTGATGCTCGAGGTAGCCCATGAAGAGGCAGGCATAGCTAGGTCCCATCTTAGTGCCCATAGCGACGCCGCTGATTTAGTTGAAATAATGGTCAAAAAACTCAAAAGAGTTTAGAGTGAGCACTAACTCGGCCAGACGCATCAAAGGGTCAGTAGCTAAAGCAGGGCTGACTCTACAATCCAGAAAGAACCGGAAAGCCTGGTGGCCTTCCAAAAATGGAATGGACGTGTAGAGAGAGTAGGTGGGGAGGAGTAAAGAGTAGGTAAGAGAGGGCGAGAGTAGGTGAGGAGGAGAGAGTAGGTGGGGAGGAGAGAGTAGGTGGGAAGGAGGAGAGAGTAGGTGGGAGGAGGAGAGAGTAGGTGAGAGGAGGAGAGAGTAGGTGGGACGAGGAGAGAGTAGCTGGGATGGAGGAGAGAGTTGGTGGGGAGAAGGAGAGAGTAGGTGGGGAGGAAGAAGTAGGTGGGGAGGAGGAGAGAATAGATGGGGAGGAGGAGAGAGTGGGTGAGTAGGAGGAGAGAGTAGGTGGGGAGGAGGAGAGAGTAGGTGGGAGGAGGAGAGAGTAGGTGGGGAGGAGGAGAGAGTGGGTGAGGAGGAGGAGAGAGTAGGTGGGGAGGAGGAGAGAGTAGGTGGGGAGGAGTAAAGAGTAGGTAAGAGAGGGCGAGAGTAGGTGAGGAGGAGAGAGTAGGTGGGGAGGAGAGAGTAGGTGGGAAGGAGGAGAGAGTAGGTGGGAGGAGGAGAGAGTAGGTGGGGAGGAGGAGAGAGTAGGTGGGAGGAGGAGAGAGTAGGTGGGGAGGAGGAGAGAGTAGGTGGGGAGGAGGAGAGAGTAGGTGGGGAGGAGGAGAGAGTAGGTGGGGAGGAGGAGAGAGTAGGTGGGGAGGAGGAGAGAGTGGGTGAGTAGGAGGAGAGAGTAGGTGGGGAGGAGGAGAGAGTAGGTGGGAGGAGGAGAGAGTAGGTGGGGAGGAGGAGAGAGTGGGGGAGGAGGAGGAGAGAGTAGGTGGGGAGGAGGGAGAGAGTAGGTGAGGAGGAGTAAAGAGTAGGTAAGAGAGGGCGAGAGTAGGTGAGGAGGAGAGAGTAGGTGGGGAGGAGAGAGTAGGTGGGAAGGAGGAGAGAGTAGGTGGGAGGAGGAGAGAGTAGGTGGGGAGGAGGAGAGAGTAGGTGGGAGGAGGAGAGAGTAGGTGGGGAGGAGGAGAGAGTAGGTGGGGAGGAGGAGAGAGTAGGTGGGGAGGAGGAGAGAGTAGGTGGGGAGGAGGAGAGAGTAGGTGGGGAGGAGGAGAGAGTGGGTGAGGAGGAGGAGAGAGTAGGTGGGGAGGAGGAGAGAGTAGGTGGGAGGAGGAGAGAGTAGGTGGGGAGGAGGAGAGAGTGGGTGAGGAGGAGGAGAGAGTAGGTGGGGAGGAGGAGAGAGTAGGGGGGAGGAGGAGAGAGTAGGTGGGGAGGAGGAGAGAGTAGGTGGGAGGAGGAGAGAGTAGGTGGGGAGGAGGAGAAAATAGGTGGGGAGGAGGAGAGAGTAGGTGGGGAGGAGGAGAGAGTAGGTGGGGAGGAGGAGAGAGTAGGTGGGGAGGAGGAGAGAGTAGGTGGGAGGAGGAGAGAGTAGGTGGGAGGAGGAGAGAGTAGGTGGGGAGGAGGAGAGAGTAGGTGGGGAGGAGGAGAGAGTAGGTGGGGAGGAGGAGAGAGTAGGTGGGGAGAAGGAGAGAGTAGATGGGAGGAGGAGAGAGATGGTGGGGTGGAGGAGAGAGTAGATGGGGAGGAGGAGAGAGTAGGTGGGGAGGAGGAGACAGTAGATGGGGAGGAGGAGAGAGTAGGTGGGGAGGAGGAGAGAGTAGGTGGGGAGGAGGAGAGAGTAGGTGGGATGGAGGAGAGAGTTGGTGGGGAGGAGGAGAGAGTTGGTGGGGAGGAGGAGAGAGTAGGTGGGGAGGAGGAGAGAGTGGGTGAGGAGGAGGAGAGAGTAGGTGGGGAGGAGGAGAAAATAGGTGGGGAGGAGGAGAGAGTAGGTGGGGAGGAGGAGAGAGTAGGTGGGGAGGAGGAGAGAGTAGGTGGCGAGGATGAGAGAGTAGATGGGGAGGAGGAGAGAGTAGGTGGGGAGGAGGAGAGAGTAGGTGGGGAGGAGGAGAGAGTAGGTGGGGAGGAGGAGAGAGTAGGTGGGGAGGAGGAGAGAGTAGGTGGGGAGGAGGAGAGAGTAGGTGAGGAGGAAGAGAGAGTATGAGGGGAGGAGGAGAGAGTAGGTGGGGAGGAGGAGAGAGTAAGTGGGGAGGAGGAGAGAGTAAGTGGGGAGGAGGAGAGAGTAGGTGGGGAGGAGGAGAGAGTAAGTGGGGAGGAGGAGAGAGTAGGTGGGGTGGGACGGAGTTTGGTCAATTCTAGCGGGATCTTGTGATATCAGACTTCGCTGCACCAGGCGACGTCCATTCGCTTTTGCTATAATGTTTATGGTCAGGAAGAAAGGTCTAGATCAGGCCTATTCAGCTAAGTTTACGCAGGGGCCAGAATTTTGAAAAACAAGGATAGTCAGGGGCCAGAAATCCGAGCTCTCGCATAAAAATATCACTAATACAATACAAATGGCAATAATTCGCGGGCCACTTGATAGGCCTCCGCGGGCCAGAATTTGCTTGCGAGCCGGCAGTTGAATAGCCCTGGTCTTGTGTTGAACTAACAGAAGACAATTTAACACTCTGTTACAAGTTAGAAGCGTTTAGACAGTTTCGACTGAATTAATTTCGCCGCTTCACGAGGAAAGAATTCCGATATTACAAGGTGAAGGCCTTCTCTGGCAATATAAGTTGAAGGTCTTCTGCGTTAAAGGTGAAGGTTTTTCCTGGCGTGACAAGTTGAAGGACTTTCTACTGACAAGTTTAAGGACGTCTGATATTGCAAGGTGAAGGATTTTGACAGCCTGAAGTTGAAGGACGCTCGTTAGAGCAAGGTAAAGGACTTACGGTTGACAAGTTGAAGGTCGTTTGACAGTGCAAGGTGAAGAACTTCGAATACTGCAAGGTGAAGGACTGGTTGCGCTACAAATGGGAAACCCCTACCCACAACTGACAAACAATCCGACAGTCTTGTAGAGGCAGCTGTTAGAATACAGGCACACCAGTGATTTATTTCGTCAATGTTTTTATGATTCTCTCATTTCCCAGGGAGCCATAGCGGTCCTGAAGTGATACGTCTAGGCACCAGAAAAGCCAACAAGGACCCGTACACCTGTGTGGAGAAAACTCAAATCATGGTCTCTCAACTGAACCGATCACTTCATCTACTCTCACCCTGTCCCAGTTACCAACCCCAGGTACGGATATATAGTGTAATACATCCATAGATGAACTGTAGCGCTGTGTGTAGTGTTTTAGCATGTCGAGACAAAAGCCTAAACTTTAGCAAAGACACTATTCTTTCATGTATGCCTGTTTATGTGTTTGGTTCTAAGGTTTGCAGTATCTGAAGACAGCTAGCATCAGCATTCTCTGGGAGATCTCTAGGGAAGATAAGGCGAGGAAGAAGGGAGCTTCGCCTGATGTGGTTGAGACTGGGAGAACCTTACAGACGACAAACAAACGGCAGTATCTGCCTAGTGACGACCTTTAGCGTCACCACACACGAGCGTAGACCATCGCGACACACGGACGTAGACCGTCACGAAACAGGGGCGCTGAAGACGGTCAAGAAAACGAATTAGTAGTGGAGGAAGGGGAGCAGAAAGAAAAGGAAAGAAGGTTGAGAAAGAGGAGAAAGAGGACGCAAAAGGAGAACATGGAGAAGAGAAAATAAGATGAAGCTGATGAAGAAGAAGAGGAGCAGGAGGAAGGTGACGAAGAAGAAGACACAAGAAGGTGAATGTAGAGGAGAAGAATGACATTTCTCTCTCTCTCTCTCTCTCTCTCTCTCTCTCTCTCTCTCTCTCTCTCTCTCTCTCTCTCTCTCTCTCTCTCTCTCTCTCTATATATATATATATATATATATATATATATATATACATATATATATATATATATATAGACACACACACTCACTCACGAATATACGCTTGTACACATATATAGTAAAATCACTGAAACAGGCTCCTATGGGGACAGACAAACAGACCCGCTGCTCCTATGGGGACACACGAACAGACCTGCTGCTCTCATGGGGACACACGAACAGACCTGCTGCTCCCATAGGGACACACCAACAGACCCGCTGCTCCCATGGGTACACACGAACAGACCCGCTGCTCCCATGGGTACACACGAACAGACCCGCTGCTCCCATGGGTACACACGAACAGACCCGCTGCTCCCATGGGTACACACGAACAGACCCGCTGCTCTCATGGGTACACACGAACAGACCCGCTGCTCCCATGTGGACACACGAACAGACCCGCTGCTCCCATGGGTGACCTGCTGCTCCTATGGGGACACACGAACAGAACCGCTGCTCCTATGGGGACACACGAACTGACCTGCTGCTCCTATGGGGACACACGAACTGACCTGCTGCTCCTATGGGGACACACGAACTGACCTGCTGCTTCTATGGGGACACACGAACAGACCTGCTGCTCCCATGTGCACGTAAGAGTCGGGCTACACCAAAGTCCAGAAAATAACCAGAACTTGTTTAACGTAGTTTACAGTCTGTGAAGGCGACAATGAAGACGACGACTCGAAAACACGTGAACAAATTTGTGCACATAGATAGGTAACTACAGTGACGAACATTCAATATGACGTTCACAGGCTCAAACAGACCAGCAATTTAAGAACTCAACTGCTGGCCCCCGCTGCTACCAGAGCAAAACCCCAGTAGTAGGCAGCAGTCTCTTACAACTGTGCTGTTACAGTCAGTAAGTATGGTACCTTGTTTGATAAACTCAGTAAGTATGGTTCCTTGTTTGCTCAACCCAGTAAGTATGGTACCTTGTTTGCTCAACTCAGTAAGTATGATTCCACGTTTGCTCAACTCAGTAAGTATGATGCATTGTTTGCTCCACCCAGTAAGTATGGTTCCTTGTTTGCTCAACCCAGTAAGTATGATTCATTGTTTGCTCCACCCAGTAAGTATGGTTCCTTGTTTGCTCAACCCAGTAGGCAGTGTTCCTTGTTTGCCAACCCAGTAGGCAGTGTTCCTTGTTTGCTCAACCAAGTAGGCAGTGTTCCTTGTTTGCTCAACCAAGTAGGCAGTGTTCCTTGTTTGCTCAATTCAGTAAGTATGATTCCTAGTTTGCTCAACCCAGTAAGTATGATTCCTAGTTTGCTCAACCCAGTAAGTATGATTCCTAGTTTGCTCAACCCAGTAAGTATGATTCCTAGTTTGCTCAACCCAGTAAGTATGATTCCTAGTTTGCTCAACCCAGTAAGTATGGTTCTTTGTTTGTTCAACCCAGTAAGTATGATTCCTAGTTTGCTCAACCCAGTAAGTATGGTTCCTTGTTTGCTCAACTTAGTAAGTATGATTCCTAGTTTGCTCAACCCAGTAAGTATGGTTCCTTGTTTGCTCAACTCAGTAAGTATGATTCCTAGTTTGCTCAACCCAGTAAGTATGATTCCTAGTTTGCTCAACTCAGTAAGTATGATTCCTAGTTTGGTCAACCCAGTAAGTATGATTCCTAGTTTGCTCAACTCAGTAAGTATGATTCCTAGTTTACTCAACCCAGTAAGTATGATTCCTAGTTTGCTCAACTCAGTAAGTATGATTCCTAGTTTGGTCAACCCAGTAAGTATGATTCCTGGTTTGCTCATCCCAGTAAGTATGATTCCTAGTTTGCTCAACCCAGTAAGTATGATTCCTGGTTTGCTCAACCCAGTAAGTATGATTCCTGGTTTGGTCAACCCAGTAAGTATGATTCCTGGTTTGGTCAACCCAGTAAGTATGATTCCTAGTTTGCTCAACCCAGTAAGTATGATTCCTAGTTTGCTCAACCCAGTAAGTATGATTCCTAGTTTGGTCAACCCAGTAAGTATGATTCCTGGTTTGCTCAACCCAGTAAGTATGATTCCTAGTTTACTCAACCCAGTAAGTATGATTCCTGGTTTGGTCAACCCAGTAAGTATGATTCCTAGTTTACTCAACCCAGTAAGTATGATTCCTAGTTTGCTCAACCCAGTAAGTATGATTCCTAGTTTGCTCAACCCATTAAGTATGATTCCTAGTTTGGTCAACCCAGTAAGTATGATTCCTGGTTTGCTCAACCCAGTAAGTATGATTCCTAGTTTACTCAACCCAGTAAGTATGATTCCTGGTTTGGTCAACCCAGTAAGTATGATTCCTAGTTTACTCAACCCAGTAAGTATGATTCCTGGTTTGGTCAACCCAGTAAGTATGATTCCTAGTTTACTCAACCCAGTAAGTATGATTCCTAGTTTGGTCAACCCAGTAAGTATGATTCCTAGTTTGCTCAACCCAGTTAGTATGATTCCTAGTTTGGTCAACCCAGTAAGTATGATTCCTTGTTTGCTCAACCCAGTAAGTATGATTCCTAGTTTGCTCAACCCAGTAAGTATGGTTCCTTGTTTGCTCAACTCAGTAAGTATGATTCCTAGTTTGCTCAAATATGAAACTGTGTTGCTTCAGTCAGTGGGTACGGTTCCCTGCTCAATCAAATTTACAATAGTATTGCTTTAATCAGTGAGTACGGTTCCGTTGTTTTTTCACATGTACGACTGTGTTGGCATACAATGAAGTTATAGGTCTTTGTGTGCTCAGAAAATGCTAGTTTAATGTCATAACCATGCCAACTGTAACAATGTGCACACTAGATCGTTCAACAATTGATAAACACACTTGCAAGCCATTTTCTCGAAAACTGCGTGTTGGAACGCAATTATTTTGTGCATGCAGCCTTAGAAAATCTACGAAAATCTGTCTGTCTTATTCAGTTGTAAACAGGTGCCCATTTTGCAACAGTTAGTATTCTCTTTGGTCACATTTAGACCCCACGGTTTATCCTAATTGCACATTAAATTATATTATATTTGACACATTTGGATATGGAGATTAATTGTTGCAACTGTAGATTTACTTGACAGGTTTATGATATTCAACCACTCATTAAAAAAAGGGTTTTAATCTGACGATCCCAAAAGAATTGGAAGAAGATCATTCTCTATTCAGTGCCTGAAAATGTGTCATTTTATTTCAATGTGGTAGTCTCTACAATCCGTACTTTGTGATTCGAAAAAATAAATATATAAATCCAGCATCATGGATAAGGACTCTTTCACTGCTTCCTGCATAAATGAGTATAAAGCGCTGGCCTTTACTTATCGGAATGTTTCTTTTCTCTTTCATCGTTTATTTACTGCCATTCTTTAGCATAGGTATGGCGAACATTAACCCAGGATTCATCCAAATATACAATAGCATAGCCTTGCCTCCATCGCTCACAGATCTGCCTCAGGTATTTAGCTCGACTAGCAATCAAACGTTTCTTTTCACACATAATATTCCTTCCACCTACTGTTTTCCTGAAAATGAACCCGGTGGCTCTTACAATTTCCCACAGACTACTTTTTGAAGTATCAATACTGCATTTTGATTTCAATGTTAATTTCAGTCTTTGGAGAGTAACAAGTTGATTTGTCTCTAACATTTTTAAGATCTCACGTCTAATGACATCTACATCAAAGTCGTCATCTTTCCTTTTCTTGCTTGACATGAGCGTACTCTGTGTCCTGTCTAATCCAACAGTTAAATGATGCTCTATCCAGACCAAGCGCCAGTCGTGTCCGTTTCTCTGAAACATGAAAATGACAATATAAATGACCCACCATAGATTCCACGAGAAAGTGCTGGTTCAGTAAAACGGTAACCTTCTGCATAGTTGTAAATTTACTTCTCAAATTCATGTTGAAGTTGATATCTATGTCAGCTTTTATAAGCTAGCTATATGACACAATACCTCAACACTGATCTGTGGACGCGCCTTTGACTAAACAACCTTGACCGACCTTTTATTTTGGCTTGAAGTCACTATCAGTGCGACTTTGCATGAGAAAATCATGAAATTGCATAGGTGTTTCTTTGACCCACTGATAAGCCAGTCACAGAGTGCATTACTTGTTGAAACTAGTGAAAGTAAACCTTCCAAAAGTCTACCAATGGTAAAACTTGCGTCTCATTAAAAAAAAAAAAAAAAAAAAAAAAAAAAAAACTACACACGATATTCTTCTTTAGTTAAAAAAAAAAGCACTATTTCCTTAACGTCATGGATATTCTAAGGCTGCATGCAAAAAATCATTGTGATCTAACAGGCAGTTTTCGAGAAAATTGTTTGCATGTGTGTTTATCTATTGTTGAACGAACTATAATTATTTTTTCTGTGTCCTCAGGCGGGGGGATAACCAATGTAGAATTTTATGTGGTAGATCTCTTTATCTGTTTTATAAGGCGGGAATCCTCACCAGTAAGTCTGGTGTAAGTCTGGTATAAGTCTCCGGCACACACACACACACACACACATACACACATATATACACACACATACACACACATATATACACACACATAGAGAGAGATAGAGGAAAGAGAGATAAAAAGAAGAGAGAGAGAGAGAGAGAGAGAGAGAGAGAGAGAGAGAGAGAACGAAAGTTAAAAAAAAAATACAAGTAGACTTGCCTCTGATTAAAGGTATAAGTTTCTTATATCTCCCATCAGTTGTCTCCCATTCTATATCTCCCGTTCATTAACTCCATTTCAATGTCTCATATTCAATATCCACCATATAATGTCTCTCATTCATTGTCTCCTCATCAATGTCTCCTCATCAATGTCTCCCATTCAATGTATCTTATTCAGTGTCTCCCATTTATTGTCCCCCACTCAATGTCTGTTATTCAGTAACCCCCATTCAGTGTTTTCCATTCAGTGCCTCCCATACAATATCTCCTATTCATTGTCCCCAATTCAAAATCTTCCATTCAATGTCTCCAGCTCAGCGTGGCCCATTCAATGTCTCCCATTTAGTGTGACCTATTTGATGTTTCCCATTCGATGTGACCCGTTTAATGTCCCCCATTCAGTATCTCTAATTCATTGTCCCCTATTCGCTAACCCATATTTGTCTCCCATTCAATGTCTCCCATCTAATATCAGATTTCTGTGAAACTAACATTTGTCAGACGTGGGGAGAGATGTAAATGTCCAACTAATGTTGTAATAAGAGCGATGTGAGTATTCGACTAATGCTGTCTATCCGATGATCCCTGACAATAGATATGGACTTTTGATAAAATCTGGCAAAGAAGCCCGAGTGCCCGTCTCGGCTGTCCCCACTGACCGCAGGCTGCAGGACTCCTATGAGAAATGTTGCATGGATGGGTCTGGCCTGTGTGAATGGTTCTACACGCAGATCTCCCAGCCCAGCTGGGCCAATTACACACCAGCTATTAAAGGTCAGTACTAATGCGTTTTAACATATGGCTGTGAATCCTGGACAATCGGTAAGCAGGCCGGTTCTCCTTGCAATTACGGTCGCTACTTGGACGGCGATTGCCGCTTAGTCGGAGTTCAGTCCCCTGGCTGCAGTGCAATTACGGAGAGGAAAAGAGGGAACGACACAAATGACATAATTAGGGCTAGGGTTTGGGTTAGGGTTTGGGTTAGGGTTAGGCTAATGTGAGTCGCAGCGCGTGGTCTAGACGCCCTGTTGAACTCACTGTGTTTTGTGATTCGTGCCTTGTACACTCCGTAATTGCACTGCAGCCAGGGGACTGAACTCCGACTAAGCGGCTGCCGCTGTGCAACTAGCGACAGTTTTTGCAAGGAGAGCCAGCAGGCCAAACAATTTCTTGAAGCCTCAGAGATGTAGTTTTACAGGAGAATGCTTAAAATACATTGGACAGCCAAAAAGAACAACCAAGAGGTTTGAAAGAGGCGGAAACCCGAAGACAACTTATCACAGACTGTCACATATCACTCCTGTCGCGTGCCTAATGTAAGGATTCCTCCTTCAGAACCAACAGCACTCAGAGATAATTATGTTGAGTCGTTTGGCTCGTATTGGTCTAAGGGATTCCCCGTGGCCAATATACGTTCAACTTATATCTGGAGTAGGGCAACTCAAGTATAGGCACTACAAAATATATCAGTATATAAATATAATATTTCTAGGCACACTTGGCTGGACACCCCCACTACTTACTAAAGAAAGCCCCCAGGTTATGATAGTTCATTATCATAACCATGTTAACACATATAATGAAGATACATACACATACAACTGCTAAACACTTAAGAAGGTGACATAGAGAAACCTAAGTCAGCCATGAAAATGAATGCATGTATTTAGTATAATATCTGTACACAAAAAAAAAAAAAAAAAAATTGAAGTGAATTCCAGCTATCAGTGAAAGAATCTCAGCACTAATGTCTAGATCCTAAGGAAACTAGGCAGACAGCCGGTCCTGGAGGTGACTATATGTCATCATTGGACACAAGGAGCTGTGAGGAACACAACATCATGTGAAGCATCAGACTTATCTTCTCTTCTTTCTGTCTATGATGCCTCCCTCAGCTCCGGATGATTGACTGTCTTTGACTCTGGGAATTCTGCTCCACTGGATCAAGTAGTAAGAGTACTTCACTATATAGGACACAGCAACTGTACCGGTATTTAGCAAGTCTCTATCACCAGTAAGGACACACAATGTCTTTGAGCCACACTAAGCTCTAGCACTGGTAGCTGTTTGAGGTACCATCTCCCACATGTTGGAAATGTCAGGAACCTTCACAGGTGTTAGCTGGTGGGTAACATGTTGTTTCTGGTGGTTTGATGGTTGGTGGATGTTGGTTGGACTGTGAATCTTCTGCCAGCTCTTCAGAAAATATACATCCTGTCAAGAAAATAACTCAACATTAGTCATCACCAAGAGGGTAACATCTTGACAGGAAAGACAGAGCAAGCATCAGTCATCAACCCCCATCTGCTGACTCCTCCCTGCTCTCCTGTTTCATTCCTCAGATTGCCTCTCCAGACCAAAAGACATAAGTCTCCTATATTTATCTGTCTGTTTAGTGCAAGAGAAGGCAAGTCAGATATACAGTGGAGATAGATAAAGTGGTCTAACACATATATCACTCTCCCTCTCCCCCTCACTCTGCACACAGACACCAATATTTACTGTCAGTACCTGCATTCACTAGCTTTCCCAACCGCCCCAGCACTCATTGATCTGGGTCAAGCACACACATACTTTGATTAACACAGCCCTGACCCAATTCTGTCCCCATTTCGTATGTACAGATTCTTTAATTAGTTTAAAACGTACACAATTGTAAGGGTATTAAGTTTTTCAGTATGGGTGGTTTATTGAGGGCATAAGCTATTTAGTCTGTACAGTGGAAGATCTACGTTCGAATCCGCTTCTCTAGCGATCAAGAACGGTCGAACTAAGTGGGATCACACAGCCGATACTGATTTCTCTACAGCAGTGACTACTTTACAGACATCATTCTAGGTACTCGTAAACTATAATTAACTTACCCAAGCATATGTAAAAACGGAGACATTCCAGATTGCCTTGAAAAGTGAAATTTATA